TGATGATTTGATTTTCCAGTACGCCACTCCCAGGTACCATGATGTGTTAGTCTGGGTACTTTAGAGAAACAGATCCACAGACACTATGTCTGAGAGAGAGTTTTACATTGAGGGAAAGTGCACATCAATCAAACATCCCAACTCAGTGCTTCCCAAGCCCACAAGTCCCTGATTAACCCATTAGCCCACACGTCCCACAACAATCCACAAAGTGCTCCTCCATCTCACAAAAAACACACTATCATGCCTACTGCAGGAGGAAAGCTGAATCAGGGAACCTGTAAGCATTTCAACGCTGGTAAGGGAATTGAGGGAGCTGCTCCAGAACCCAGGGATGCATCGGGGTAGCTCGTTGTGCCTTTCCCTCAGGGATGTCTTGCAAGAAGTGAGGCCCTTCGGCTGGAACAGGGTACTGGGTAAGACAGCTGCATCCTGGTCTGACCATCACAAAGCAAGAGACTCGAGAACAAGAAAGGGGGGTTCACTGAGGGATGTAGCCCTCTGCCCTTCAATTAAACCCACGTGTTTACTGGGCAGTTTGGCCCACTTCAGTAACTACCCCAATCCACCACCCCTTGCCAACCTGGAACCTGTACACAATTCTTTAGCTTCACGATTTAAATTAAGTAAAACCTACACCATAATCCTATATTCCTGGGAATATGTTACCCCATCTATGAAAGTTTGTAAAACAACTTCTCCATGCCTTTATTAACCCAATTTTGAGTTTCCAATTTATGAATTGGCCACTTTCATCAACCCAATTCTCAGAGAAGACTATCATATTTTTCGACATGAGTCTTCATTGCAGTTGGAACCTTGAGAAGTCTGCATCCATAAGCAAAGTCAAATCCGGACAGGCCTTCCATAAAGTCAGCAATTATGCACCATTTCACAGGCTCAAATAACTCCAACTGATTGGGTTCTGGTCAAAACAAGGTGAGCTGCCTCACTCAGGGTCCACAGGGTGGCCATTGGTCGCCTTGTCCTCAGAATGTGGGTTCCCACTAATAGTAAAGAAGCCTAGCCACTTCGTGCTAGGTCATCAACTTTAGACAAGTCAAGAACATTTCTTCCTATAAACTATGTCCACAGGTGTCAGTGTCCAAACGCAAGCTGTCTCTATTGCTGCATTTCTCCCAGTTCCACTCAACAATTAGATCCACATGCTCACACAGCAAGCATTTCAGCCCGCTCAAAGGCCCCACTTAACATTGAGTCCCAGCGGAGTTTTCTTCATTGTTCCACATTATCTCTAGCTTCTGGCAAAACTACTAGTTCCTGAGTACTACAAAACCCAGCGTGGGGCATATATTTTGTTGCTTAGCTTTCTTTGCAGGCGGGGTCTAAACCCATCTAAAGATCAAATTTTAGTGGCTCAAAGAAAGTGGGCTTACAAACTTTCTATTTTCACACTTCCCATATTTTCCCCAAAGACAACCGAGTGAATAGTGAGGCTCCATCTGACCTCTGGCTAGAAAAGAAAAACTCCCACGATGGAGAGGTCGAAC